CTGTCAAAATACTATTCACAGCCGCGGCAATGTCAAAACTTTGTTTTTACTTTTCTCTTCCATCCGGACTCCGAATAAAGTGATTTTTGAATCTAACTTGATTAATATTTCGTTGTCTATCAATGGTGTGCTCGGTGGCACCTAAATATTGCTAGAAATTACCATTTTGCCCTTGGGGCTAAACTTGTCCGTTTTTAAATCGTGGCTTCCGCTTGTTTCCCTTTTGTTTCCGTGACTTCATGAGAAGTCATGATTGTGTCTTAAGGTTGATGTACATTTCTAGAGATGTTGTTTCTATGTAAAAAGAACATTTTGCCCTAAAGGGCTAATTTGGTTTTTTTCTGATCTTTTTCTTCTGCTTTGTTCTCGTTGAGATCCGTGGCCTCATGGAAGGTTACTTTGACGGCTTAGAGATGCATTGCATCTCTATAGACTAATTTTTTATTTTTGCTTCCGCATTGGGATCCGTTATTGGGTCAAATTCAATTCATCACAGGACACACTGGCTTGAAAACTAGGGCCGTCACATCCCTTAACCAAAATCCAATGCCCAATAATCCATAAACAAAAGTACTAAGAATAAATAACTGAATAATGTTCTACTTTGAAATAACTGGAAAAAATAGATGACAAATAAGTCTCCAAGCTGGGGATCTTTAACCTTGAGACTTGAACTTTTAGAACCTAAAAGATTTAAAAAATAAAGTGGGTCAATCCCATGAGTAAGTTTCCTTAACAAGCCTCTAAAAACCGATAAATAATATATTTCTAACCACAACCATCGTAAAACCCTTTTTAACCTTTAATAAAAGATGATAATTAATTTTACATAGTATCAACAAGAATATTTAATAAATCTAGGATCACATCCATAGATAATAGTGTATATATATATATATATATACACACACACACACTCTGTATACAACACTAGATAATTATCTTCCTTGGAAACTATTTTCTTCAACCCATACATGTAATATATTGGCTTATTAGCGAGAAAATAATATTTCATTCAACCATAAGATTATTTACTTCCCCTAATCCACAAACACAATAACATAATCATCTAAATTTACATAACATTATATTTGTGCCTTGGCAACTCCTCCATGCCTTCACGAGCATAGTTTTGTCTACACCGTCTAAATGACAATTTATTTAAGTCTTGGCAACTAGTACATGCCTCCTTAAGTATGTTTATATCCACACTTACAAAATAGTATATCATCCATACTTCCATTGTATATATTATGTTCATACAATTAATAAGACATTATATCTATGTCTTTGGCAACTCTTCTTTGCCTCTGAATAAACCACACATTAATATTAAAATTAAATACACCATAAATCATACAAGTAGGCATCATACGCATTTTTATGCCAAAAAAAATAAAAATAAAAAAACAACCTACTATGATTTCCTTCCATTTACAACATGCAAGAACATGATAAATATTATATAGCAACTAAATAGTCATTTAACCTATGCTGAAATCATATACCAAGATTTTAAACATAATTATGATTAAATCTTTCTATTATATATTGAAATATAGGAGTTTGAGTCCAATCTTATGCAACTACATTATAAACACTGATCTAAGCGCTTTAGAACACTTATGGGACTTTCAAAAATCACCTCGGGGCTTTCCGAAATACTTTTGAGGCAAAACAGGCCCCTAGGGCTCGAGCCCTGACCAACAGCACTCCAGCCCAGAACAGCGTTTGAGCCCTGTCTAAACAACGCTTGAGCCCTATTAATAGTGCTTGAGCACTGGTTCCCTGAACTAACTCGGCAAGTCCATTTTTAAGTCTGTATTATGTCATTCGAGTCCTATATCATGTCTCTAAGTCCTGCTTTATCTTCCATACATTAATACTAACCTTTATACATGTTTTAAGTCATCAAAATCGCAGATCCAACCATTTAAATTTCATATTCAACCAATCTTATACACACATACATATATATATATATATATATAAACACTCAAATATATATATATATACACATACGAACATGCAACTCCGATTTCATGCTATTAGCCTAAGTCTATGTCATTTACATACAGATCCAATTCTAAGATTATGATACCCAAGGTATAAAACTTATGGATTCTAAAAGGAGAGTTAAAGAAAGAACTCGCCTGGAGTTTCAAAGCGAAACCGACGCCGTAAGCCCCTTGGTTCACTTCTGCAACTCCGGCTCCTAGTCGTCGTTGTCGTCTTCCTTCCTCTTCAGATCCGACCTGCTCCCCTTCTTCTTTCTTCTTATCCTTCTTTTTTTCTCTCTCTCGGTAACCCTTTCTCTCTCTCAGCCACCTTTTTTTTTTCTCTGTTCTTTTCACGTAAAAACTTCCTCCCTCAACAACACCACATATATTTATATATATGTATATAGCTTCTAATCCTACCATAAACAGACTACCCAAAATATACCATATACATATTATTCATATATATATATATATATATATATATATATATATATATATATATATACACATGCTGTACATATATATGTTAAGCGGTAAATGTTATACATTTCAACCCCTTAACTTACATGTTTTTTTCTCTTAGTAGTAGTTTTGTTTGTGATTTTATATTATTTTAGTGATTTCTTTATTTCAGGGCTTTAATGATAATATCAGTCAAGACCAATGATTTCGTGCTATACAAGATGATATCCAAGAGGTTAGAAGACCACAACCATTGGACCGAGCTATGATGAATATCCGAGTCTAATTAGACTTAGAAAAGATTCCAAGAGAAACCACAAGCTGATGAGAATGGAAACAAGAAGAAAATGAAGGATCCTTTTTCCAAATATGAAACTTTCTCCAAATTGGTAACTTGAACCCATTTTGGTTTTCTGTCTGTATCTATTTCCTCAAATGTCAAAACGGTTAAATTCTTGCGTAGGTTGAAAGGAAATTCGAAGATCTACAATTTTGTGTTTCATGAAACAGTTGTTTACCTTGTCAAAACTGGGCTGGAAGTTAATATGAATTTTGGAGTTCTTGTTTGGCAGAATTTCCATATATATCTTCTATTTGGAAAAGGGACTTTGTGGTTGTTCTTCTCTTATTTAAAGGGAGTTCCCTACATCATTATAATCATGATACAGAGGAGCTAAAGGCTGAGATCAGAGGAGAAGCATATAGAAGAAAGAAGGGGTCGATCCATGGCGGCAAAAGATGTCTTCCTCAATCATGAAGAAGTCCATTTCAAGCGGCTAAAAGCTTTGCTAGGGCTGTGATGTAGCCCTAGCTTAACACTGTTGGTTTGATTGTATTTGTTTGTTGGAGAATAGTATTTTTCATGCATGATTGTGTAACCTAAAGAATTTTTACTTGACTTTTCAATAGAATTCGGGTTTTAAAGTTTTAATTCAATTATAAAGTATTTTCTATCTTGTCTTAGATATTTAATTATTGTAATTGAACACAACTCATGTTACTTCTTGAAGTTGTCAATGAGATGGTTATGCAATGGTTTTTCACTGAATATAATATTAGGGATTTGATGGATTATGCTTAGAGAATATAGACCATACTACACCCTAGAATAGAATAGTTAGGTAGATGGTTTATACTAATCGAAGATAGTCCATGCTTACCTTTAATTTTATATTATCTTCTAGCTAAATTAATATGTACTTGTAGCCATGATTAATTTCTTATACATGGTTCATATCTCTCCAATAAATTGATGCAATTGACTGGTGGTGCGACGTTAGTGGTGAAATCAGGTCCCTAGTTTCTTCTCTATTATTTTCTTCATCTAGTTTAATTATTGACTTTTTATTTAATTTTCTACTTAGCTCATTGGATTAAATCATCAAAACTTGTTTATCCTATTAAGTTAATTTAGAATTTGAGAAGTCTGTTAACAACTTCATTAATATAAGTCTCTTGGGTACTACACCCTTACAAGGAAGCCCTATCTACAAAGATTTATGCATTTGCGAGTGATTACGTCTAAAGTTATACAACAATATATACATGCCATATATATATATATATATATATATATATATATTTAACTCAAGTAATATATAATAATATTACTATATATATATATATATATATATATATACACATATACCCATCATCATAATAGTCATTCATCCATTAAGATCATTTTCTAAAATCCAAGGCCACCTCTTTCGGCCCAAATCTCCTTGATCGAATCTATTAAATAAATAAATAAATAACTTAAATAATAATTACAAATAACTAACAAACACATGCACACAAACAGAACATAGAATGATCAAACAACACACTCAATCAATGCGCTCAAATCAAACATGAACACATGGCAAAATCTCAAGTAACATCACAAAATATAATTAATCAAAATAAGACAATTAATTAAAACTCCAAATTAAATTCAAATAAATCATTTAAATTAAAATAAAATCAATAAATCCCACTAAATAATTCCTTTAAAATATAAGGGTATTACACATTTTCCCCAACTACTCTTAATTTCATGTACCACTTTTGTACATGCAAGTATTAATTCTGTACAAATGTATCACTTTTATACATATAGGTATTATTTTATTTTTTTTGTATATACCATGTCATTAAGAACCACTTTTTATATACACAGACATAACCCACACAAAAAGTGGTACCTCCCTGTACAAAAAGTGGTACCTATATGCACAAAAGTAGTACTTCTATGCACAAAAGTGATACATGAAAATAGTAAAAGTAATTTAAATAATGAACAATATTTTTCTATGTCCACATTAACATTTTGATCAACTTCATTTTTAAAAAGATCATGACTTTGAATCCTCCAAATGATAAATATGGGGTCTATAAGTCCATCTTTCTGTAATAATCCCTAAAACTAGAGGTGATTTTATTCGGTTACTGTCGATTCATTCACATGTTTGTTGTATAAACAGTAGTTGGTGTTTTTTTTTTGTTTTATATATATATAAGATGTTGTACAATTACAAATAGGAGATTAAAACCTCCAACAGAACAAAACAATAATGGACTAAATCCATTAACCAATCACACCAAACAAAATTTAAACAGTAGTTTATTCATAGAAATGGGTGAATTATCACACTAAGGATCGAGTGTTGGACAAATTGTCCTTGAAATTGAAATTTCGGAGATGACATTTTGTGTGATAATTTCTTAAAATTTATTTGCATGAAACATGTTCTGCAACGGGTAAATAAGTTGTGAACTAGGTACATGCGTGAACTTGCTATATATGAGTGGTAGTACCTTGTAGGAGGAGTAGTAGTACCTTGTAGAGGTTCAAATAGTCACTTGTTTTACATAGAAAGCTAATTAAGCGAGAAAGCTGAAGCATGTGGCTGCATATCTAGTACCTAGTCATGACTCTTGAGGGATGAGGCTTATATATATATGTGTGTGTGTGTGTGTGTATAATTAAGATACTGTAATAAGCTTTCGAGTAGAACGGCACCAGCGATCATAGGACATTTGGAGATTAGGCCAATCTGAGGTAGAGATGGTGAAGTCTTGTAGCCAATTTGTGAGGATGACTTCTTGATCCAATGCAGGTAAGGTGGAGATCAGCTCATCCATTGTCCTCTCCATTTCTCCCTTTTCGTAACCTGACAACACTGGATATGCTAACCCATTCTCTGCGTAGCAAAACAACGGAAGCCAAAGCACCAGCAGCCTGTACTTTATTTGCCTTGGCACCTCCAACTCTCCTCGAGTCAGCTCTCCAATCAATATAGCTATATATACATACGTAAATCAAGAAAAGAATTGAGGGTTAGATACACTTAGACATGTACTAGCTCCCTCCCCTCCCCATTTTGAATTATGGTAACTATCAAATTTCACTATTGGCCCCACTGAAACTATTAAGAAAATCTACTATTATCCTCTCTTACATAATTTTTTGTCATAATTTCACTAGTCGGTTGCCCAATATATACATAGTGATCAAAGAGGGTCTGGTGTAATGGCATAACCTATGAGGAGGCAAGAAATTGGAGCACGGTGTGCAAGTAAAAAAAAATTAATAGTCGAGTGACCTAACGATATCAAGCCCTTACTTTTTAAAGAGAAATCCCTCAATTTGGTACCGCTCTAGCGGCCCGCACCGAAACAGTGTTTTACCCCTAGATGTCTAGTCAACTGTTGTGCCACAACGCATTTCGGGGAGAACCAGCTAGCTCTGGGTTCGAGTGGCATTTCACCCCTAACCACAACTCATCCGTTGATTCTTCAACATCAGTTAGGGGTTCGAACCTCCGTGAAAGTATGTGTGTGTGAGTACCCAACTAGGAAAAAAAAAATTGTATATTTATTTTTTTTTTTTTTGTTTTTTTTACATAATTTATTTTATACATAGAACATTAATTTAATGTATTATTTAAAAATAATAATAATAATAAATAATAATTACATAGCAAAAAGAATAATTTAATGATTTTTTTTGATCTTTTGAAATGACCAAGTTACCCTTTAAAATAAATATATTATTATGTTCGGTAGTTCACAAATTTTAAACCTCACATAGTATTTAGGGAAAGAGCACTTTTGGAATACGACAAATATTCAGGGACAACAAACCATACAAAAACAAAAAGGAGTGTATTATTCAATTGAAACAGAAAGTATCTACCATGTTAGCAATTGATTATAAAAGTCAGTATTATTATAAAAAGTTACACGATTCCTACTCCTTTTTATTTTAATTATTATTAGTAGTACTTTAATTGGTGGTTAAATATATATATATATATATATATATATATATAAGGTTCTGACCTGAGATTTTGACGATGAAGCCTTGAACCCTTGGGTTGCCCGTCAGAGAGAGAGACGCGAGACCGGAGGCTAAGCTCCACTGGACAAGAGCTTCGTCGACGGCCCCACACGCCCTCAGCTTATTGGTTATCCACAGAAGTTCATGAGCATGCTTCTCGGCCACAATATCACTACTCTCCCCTCCGCTGGCTCCCACCAGCTGCCTCCTCTGCTTGGTGCCGGAGAAACCGGAAAATATGGAGCCGAGGCAGAGGCTGAGACCTGATTTCAAGTAAGAGGCAAAGAAGGAGCCCAAGGGAAGTGTCTTAATAACCCATGACCCTCCACAGAAGTCATCAACGACTCCCCCGCTTTGGGTTTGGCATTGGCCTTGGCTCCTCTGAAGCGAGCGGTACAGAAGTCCCGAAGTACGAGCAAATGCAGAAGCTAGTGCTGTACGATTGATTTGCAGTAGCTCCACGTTGCCCTGCCTCGAGTTCTCTTCCACGATCTTGTCCGCCATCGCCACCGCAAACTGGTACTTTCTCGACGAAGCTGGAGTTTCGTTCAACAATGCAAATACCTGACCAAACCCAGTGATAGAGATAATATGCCATATTTTGAGGGGTAATATTGTCATTCATTGATCGACTGAAAAGCTAGGTATACCACTCCAATAGCAACAAAACTATAAATTTGTGTCACCACCTATGTGCCACGCGGCATATTGCATGCTTACCCATCATAAACTCCCATATATAAATTAGTAAATTTTTATCAAAAATAAAATAAAATTTTACTTAATAATATCCACAAAAAAAAAAAAAAAAAAACCTGCAGTACCCATATATTGTTTGAATCGAATCCAATCATAGGTTATATATATAGTTTAGGATAATATTAATATATATATTTTGGCGGCAGATTGCTGGGTCAGATTAATTAATTAATTAAGAATGACATATGAAAACGGGAGGTGAAAATTAAAATACTATTTTAATGCATACAAAATGAAAGCAGTAAACAATATAATATATAAGCATGATCATCAACTTACATGTGAAAGCGCTCTACCGAGTGCTTTAATTGAGGATGGTTCAGTATTAGAGCCAGCTTGGTGGAGAACCAAATCTAAAGAAGAAAGTGTTGATGATAATGATGATGATGATGATGGTAAATTAAATGATTCCTCCATGGGAGAAAAACCACCATCATGATCTGTTAGCAGAAAGGGGGAATTTGAGTACTGCAGGGCGCTGGGTAGCACAGAGCTGCTGCAAGGGAAGTGATCCATCAGAATCCTAAGAACCCAAACAACCATCCAAGTCATGAGCATAACCATGAACCTCATATGGTCTGCCGCCTTCCACTTCTCGGCGTTTTGGGCTTCGGCACTGGACGTGGACGCCACCGCCACCAGTGCCTTTGCCGCCTTGTTCACTGTCGCCATGAATATGGAGTTCAAGAGAGCTGGAGGCCTCCTCATCATGCTGTTGTTGTATCCACCATCATACTCTTCCATATGAGCTACTTGATCATCGTCTCTTGCCATAGTTATATACCTATATATATATATATATATAGGTATTGTAGATATATGTATATGTATAGGTGGGCTGAAGAAGAAAGGGTAGGTGTTTAATTTATATATGAAGGAGGGACATTGATGAAGCTAGGTGTTTAATTTGTTTTTTAGGAAAGTTTCAAAGTTTTCATGTGACACGTAAATTGGTTTGGGGATGTAATGGTAAATTCTTAGGTTTTGTTATGTTAGTATGCTTTAAAGCGTGTACTGACAGGTACCTATGTGTTGATCTGTCTTTTTTCTTAGAAGAGCCACATGACCTCTTGGAATGATGATTTTTCAGGCTCAATATGACAGCATATTGTTCGTTTCTTCGTTAAAACCTTAGCCAGTCGGGTGCAACTTGGGCCTACCCAATCCGAATCCGATCTCGACCCAATTTTGGATTGGGTTGGGCTGGGCTGGGCTGGTCTGAGGGATAATAAATTCGGGTTTCAACCCATTAAACCCAACCCAAATTTTTTGGGTTAGCCAGCTTTCACGGGCCAACTTTTTTTTTTTTTTTTTTTTTGAACAGCAACCGGTAGGCTATATATATATATATATATCCTTAAACCCTGATTGAATTTAGTTTCTAAGAAAATTTTAAAAATAATATTGCAAAAGGCAAAAACATGTACATATTACTGGCAATTTTTCTATTTGAATTTCTTCACGTGTGTATTATTTACAATTAAAATTTTATAAAAACAAAATAAGAAACACAAAAGTAAAATAATAATTTAAAAAAAAAAATAGTGCAAAATGGGCTCTGCACATCAAACCCTAGAAATGCATCAGCCATTTTTTTCTTCTTAACTTCACATACACAATCTTCAATTTGGATTTTAAGAATAGTTGCGTATGAGAACGAAACATAGATTCAAAGAGAAAGAGATTTAAATCAAAAGATGATTGATGTAGATGCAACGGTGAGATGAACGGCGGCAGTGGAGCAGCGGCTGAGGCGGAGGAACTATGACAGCGGCGGCAGAGGGACGGCGACGGCGACGGCGACGGCGACGGCGACGGCGAAGGCGAAGGCGACAGCGGCAGTAGAGGACGGCGGTGGCGGCGGATTCTCTATAGACCGTGGAAGTTCTCTTCTCCCATTAGCTTCTGAAATTTTCGTAGGGGTTAAAAAACTTATATACACCCACAATAATTCGGGTTGGGATCGGGTTGACCATGTTCTAACCCGAGACCAACCCAAAAATAGGCTCAGGTTAAAATGTGTCAACCCGAAGCCAACCCAATTTGTTGGTGAAAGAAGCCCAATCCGAAAAATCTTGGGTTGGGTTCGGATTGGACTGGGCGGGTCCGTCCCAAGTTGCACCCCTAACCTTAGCCCATCATCATAACTTAGAACAACATTGTCGTGTTCTGGAAACCACTATTAATATTTACCCGTTCAAATATAAATTTAATTTGATCATTGGGTTTGCTCACCCTGCAAGTAGGTTGAAGAATGCTTCACACAAGGGTTCACAGAGAAACTTTTAAATTAAGGTGGGTAACTATTTATGATTATAATTTATTGTTTATATAAACAAATTTTAAAGGAAAACTTGTTTGTTAATATTATTTATGTTTTATCGATTATATAAATTCAATTACTGTTCACACATGTCAATTTTATAAACACCAAACAGACGTTTATGATTATGATTATGATTATTTTTGCAAAACAAACACTATTCCCTGTTTACATAACCAAGAGGCACAATCCACTTTATGATCAATAGTTTTTTTTTTATGAACACCACATTTGCTAAGGTTGTGGGCAACTTTGTTAGAGGATTATTGGACACTTCATAGATATTTTTATTACTTGTTTAAAACTAGTGTTAAATTTTTTAAAAACGGTTTAAGGTTAACAAACATGTTTTTCTATTTACTGTTTTTAAAATAAGACAAACATTTTTACTATATCAAATAATGTATGTGTTTATCGATAAACAAAATCTACACATAAACACTTATTATGTAATGTTTTTTATTTTCCCTATTTTTTATTTTTTGGGATTTTTTGGGATTATTCTAGATTTATTTCGTTTTGCGTGCTGAACACCGAGAGGTGTGCCTGGTGTGTTCCGAGAGTTGGTTAGAGCATTTCATTGAGTTCAGAACTCTTAGAAATGCATTGTTGGCCATTTTGTCATTTTTCAGTTTTTCGGGTCAAGAGGTCCCAGGTGGAACCGCAACCAGTATTGTTGTACACAGAAAGTAATTTTCGAAGTTGTTACTCTTCATATATTATTATTTGATGCGTATTTAGGTGACTATGTGTTTACACACGGGTTGTGGTGTGTTTGGTGTACATACATGTGTGTATGTTTATATAAAGGATGAAAAAGAGGTATTTTTTTAAAGGGTGGGCCCCACATGATATCACTTACTTTATATATATATGTCATTTGGCTTATTTTTAGCATATTCTCTCTCATTCTCTCGCAACTCTCTTCTCTTTATTTTTCCTTCATTTTTCGGCCAATTGGTCGGGTTTCTGGCCTTGGTTCCTTGACGGAAAGTGTTCCTCTCATCATTCTCTATCACATATTCAAAGGATTTAATTTTCAGAGGAGCAGTGATTATTTTATGAATTTTTGAAAATTCTAGATCTAAGGTTTTGGAAAGGGGTTTTGGGCCACTTCGAGTCGGATTCTAGAGCCGCGCCTTTGGAGCAGTTTACTCTCCTCGTCGTCGGCTACGTTTACACCGAACAGTTTTTCATTCCGCTGCTGTTGACCAGAATTTATCGGCGTTGACTTTTCCAGCAAGGGATGCATTTTGGCTACTTTTGAGGTAGTGGTATTCTAATATTCACTTCTTTGAGCTTTGTAAGTTATTCTCTCAAAAAATTTGTTATATAAGCATGATTTAGTTGTGTTGGAATCCTTTGAGCCTTATGTTGTGTATATTAAATTCCTATTTTATGTTGACAAAAATGAAATTATATACATTAGTTGTCTAAATGTGATGAAGTATGCTAATTTAAAATTATTGCTTGTCTTGTGTGACGGCCCGAATCTCAAAAAAACCCGATGCGTCAGCGAGTAACCCGAAACTGATCCGATAATGAATCCCAAATGCGGAAACAATGAAAGAGAACAAGTCTCTAGAGATGAATGCCACCTCTAAGACGCCAAAGTAACTTCCTGAGAATTCATGAGACTCGAAAGAAAATAATTACGGAAGCTAGGGTTTTAAAACAGACAAAGTAAACCACTAGGGGTAAAAAAAGCCATTTCAAACAGATTTGGATGCCACCATGCATACCATTGAATAAACAATGATAAATTAATAAATATAGACTCAAAAATCACTTGATTTGGAGTTAGAACGGAGAAGGTATGAATTTCCAAAGTTCTAGAAAAATTTGTAAAATGTGCCCAGGTACGATCGTTCACTCTGAGGAGCGAACGTTGCTCTCAGGAACGAATGATGTACAGTGACTACGAATAGTGAAAAGTGCCCAAACTGTACTTGAGTGATCATTCGCTTAGGGGAGCGATCGTTCGCTCAAAACCAGCAAACAATGAATAGTGTCAATGGTTGACTTGGTCAAAAAGTGCCTGAGCGATCGTTCGCTCAAGGGAGCGATCGTTCACTCAGGGCCAGTGAACAGTGGATTTGCTGCAAGGGTGATTTTTCTGAAAACGTGCATTTTTTATGGCTAAAACGGGACTTTTTGGGAAAAGTTTGTGAAAAAACACCCTCCCTTACCCCTCCCCCCCCCCCCCCCCTAAAAAAAATGAGTCTTCTAATCAACTATGGTCCGAACCAAAAATAATATGCAACCTAAAATGACCAAAATGCCCTAAAAAAACTATGTTAAGGAATTTAAAACATGCTAAAATTATACATACCCTCAATACCTCAAAAGTCTTTGGCCCTTGGGTTCATTACACATATGCTAAAGTATAATCAAAATAGAGCATTTAAGTTCATATTACAGGTCCAAAATGAAGCAAGTCAAGCTCTTAAACAAGTTATAGTTTGATAATAACAAAAGATAACAAAAGCATGCTAACACTTGCATGTCAAAAGCACATATAGATGATATTCCAATGCTACACAAGCCAAGCTAGGGATTTTGATCATCCAAAGTAGGGTCTTTTTCAGGAAAGAAAACACTATTCTTGCCTGAAAAAGACCTAAATAAACTAAAGTGAGTAAACGAGTTACTTAGTAGGATGAAGCGCATGCGTATATCCCTAAAGTTTCAATGATTCTTTGCAAGCGTAATATAAACAAATGCACGTGGATCATGCTCCCTAACGTCTAAGTTCAATGTGGAGCTAAGGGATCATTCTAAAGCTACCTTTGAAACAATTTAAACACAATCCACGACATACAAGGCATATAAACAATAATGGTGCTTCCAATGTCAGCAACAAGTTATAATTCAAGTAATGTCAACTTGAAACGAAATGCGAAAACAAATGATATGTAAATATTGGGAGAATAACTACCATACAACTAGAAGAATAACAAAGTACACACCAGTCCAAGAACTACAATACAACTTACACATAGACTCTAGTATGATGCAACTCACACATGCGACTCCATGATGCAATAAGATGTACTGCGGAATCAAATCCGATGCAAACAAATGGTGTACTTCCATACCCCACTGGTCAATTGTTCTTTAGGACTTTCAACCTAATAGACTCAAAGTCCACTTTTTCAATGTTCAGATAGTGTCTATCATTCAATCATGTTATGCATGTCGTACACACACAACCTAAAACCAAATGAATTTTTATGAACAAGATGGTGACCACCATGCTCCTGAGGCCAAGGTGACACACATACACACTATGTTTTACTCACAAGTAATTATATCAAAGATGTCACAATACTAAAACAATGTAAACTAATCAATAGTTATACAATCAAGTCATTAAAACTACAATGGCAATTACATGAACAAGTTTACAAAGTGAATCAAATTAAACTACTACTATAAAATCAACCTATGAAATCCATTCATGCTAGTATACAATTAGTTTCAAATCCATAATAAAAACAACAACAACATAGTATCAAATACACAATTAAATCATTGACAAAGATTATATAGAATTTCTATAAATTACAATAACGAAAATCTCTAGATTTCAAAGCATCACTTAATGAAACAAACTAAACACAAGTTAAAGATTATGTACTACAATGGCAATTACATGAACAAGTTTACAAAGTGAATCAAATTAAACTACTACTATAAAATCAACCTATGAAATCCATTCATACTAGTATACAATTAGTTTCAAATCCATGATAAAAACAACAACAACATAGTATCAAATACACAATTAAATCATTGACAAAGATTATATAGAATTTCTATAAATTACAATAATGAAAATCTCTAGATTTCAAAATATCACTTAATGAAACAAACTAAACACAAGTTAAAGATTATGTAAAAGCCTTAATCAAGACAAAGCCCCAAGTTAATTTTATGCAATATACACCTAGATACAACCCTAGAATTCAAAATACATGCATACAATGTGTATCAACTTCAAGGAACAAAAGATACAACAAAAGTATAAACATAAGACAACCCCTACCTCACTATAGGATTGAACCTCTAGAATCCAAGACAAATGAAATCAAATGGAAAAATTGTGAAAAGGTGTTCTAGAGAAGGAAGAGAGGAAAATTGGATCTTCAAGGTGGAAGACCAAATTCTTAAGGGAAGGGGTTCAAATTTTAGAAATGGAGGTTAGGGTTTCAGGGTTCATCAAGGTACCTCATTAGAGGATTGTTCCTCTAGAATCCAAGGCAAACAAAAACAAATGGAGAAACCGAGAAAAAAATGTTCTAGAGAAGGAAGAAAGGGAACTTTTGTCTTCAAGGTGGAAGACCAAAATCCCAAGGGAAGGGGCTTTAAAAACCAAAATGGAGGCTAGGGTTCAAGATGACATCAATGGTGGTCTTTGTGAGGAAGACCACTTTCTCTGAAAAATCCAATAACCCTAAGGCCTTTTATAGTCAAACACACTACACCAACCCTACCTTTCTCACACACACACACATACATCCACCCTCCACTTGTCATGATCTTAGGCCTCCTCACTAGGCTTAATCCAAGCCTTAAACTTGTTCCAAGTGCATCAAATGGAAAGTCAACAAATGGCCAAATGAAAGTGTGACACTTGTCACATTTTCTCAAAATTGCAAGCTAGCTCCTCCACTAAATATTTCAAAAATTTAATTACGTAAAACACTCCGAAAAACGAAAATGTTTATGAAGAAACTATGCATCCATACCCTTAGAAAATGAAAATAACCAAACATGTTTTTCAATAAATTTAAGACTTACACGAGCAATAAAAGATAATACTCCGTCCATCCCAATATAAGTGTCACTTATGGGGAGTAGTAATTTTTAAGGGGACATGTGGGACCATGCATTGTCTGCCTGAAAAATTACTAAGTTGCCCTTCTAAGTTTAGAATACTGAGGTTTGAAATTTAAACTCAAAGGACATTTTTGGAATGATGTGAAATATATTGTTTGAAAAATAAAAGTGGACATTTATTTTGGGACAGATAAAAAAGAAAGCATGACACTTATTTTGGGATGGAGGGAGTATAATGTAATGCATGTGGTGCCAGAAATCGGTTCCGGACACCAAAACCTACCGCGGTTCAAACAAAACCTTAAGGCAACGTAGCAAAAGAATAAATCAAATAAATAAATAAATAAAAATAATAATAATAATAAAATGACAGAAAAACGGAAAAGGAAAAGTTCACATCTTGTGTGTTTAAAAATGCTAAATTCGTATAATGTCAAGACATGATATATTTCCTTGTGAGTTTCTTATAAGCATGTTATGTTGTTGAAAATGAATGAAATGAATAAAATTTTATTATTGGCATGATATTGAAAGCATGAATTATTCATCCATTGCATTGGGTAAGAAAAGGGAATTTGTTTTAAAAAGAAATGAAATTATTTTGGGGAAAGATTTTGAAAAATGGTTTACGAAAACTCGAGTGCCTAGGAGCGCTGCCTAGTGGTCAATGGTGTTAATGTGATCAAGAAGGAATTAGGGAGAGACTCTAGCGTAGTTGAGTTATATAAGCCAGAAAAAACGCCCTGGAGTTGCCTTGTGGTCGGGGATAGCTAGCCAGCCCTTCTCTCATGATGCCATAGAGCTACTATGGGTCGGTTGCATTAACGGTTTGGAATAGTGAAACGGAAATGTTTTGAAAAATGGGAAGCGACATTAGCATGTCATTGCATTACATTGGCATGCATTGTATACATATGGTTGGATGGCCTGCATTGTTGTTATTGTTGTTATAGTTATTACTATCTTTGATCTATCCGGTAATTCTTTGAATTCTTTAATATACAGTTGGTTGTTCAATTTCAATACTAGTCTTGTTTATATAGACCTTTCTGTTAATAATTTACAAGGTCTGATCCCTGATTCATTCAGAAACTTGAATTCCCTTACCTATCTTACTCTCTATTCCAATCAACTTGAAGGTGGGATTCTAAAATCCATTGGGAACTGTACTAGTTTACAAATATTGACTTTGGTTTTGAATCAACTTGGTGGTTCACTGCCTCACAACATCACAAGACTTTCATCTTTGAAGGAATTGTATCTTTATGATAATCAATTGAATGGGTCTTTACCAGATTTAACCTGATTATCTTCATTGAGAAAGTTGAATCTTCGGAACAATCGATTGAGTGGGTCTTTACCAGATTTAAAAGGATTATCTTCACTAAGAAGGCTGTATCTTTCGAACAATAGCTTGATTGGACCACTACCCAAAAGTATTGGGCAATTTTTCATGCTTGAAATTTTGGACGTCTCTTCAAAATTTTTACAAGGTATAATCTCCGAAACCCACCTCTCAAATCTCAACAACTTGAAGCAATTGTTCTTGTCTGATAACTCCCTATCTTTAGACTTCTGTTTTGATTGGAATCCTCATTCTCAACTTAATTTCATATACTTGCGGTCTTGCCGGTTGGGCCCTCGTTTCCCAAACTGGCTTCTAATTCAAAACAATTACTCTGACCTTGATATCTCTAATTCTGGAATTTCAGATATTGTCCCTCGAGAGTTTTGGAATTTATCTCCTCAACTGTCTTACATAAATCTCTCTTCCAACTACATGAATGGCATGGTACCTGATTTGGCGTCATTGAAGACAATTTTTTATCCTATAATAGATTTGAGCAATAATAGTTCTGAATGTCCAATGCCACTATTTCCTCCCAACATCACACTTTTGAATCTCTCTAAAAATATGTTTTTTGGGTCAATTTCTTTCTTATACAACATAACCAATGAGCTTCTCAGCTTTATTAACCTCTCAGATAATTAATTATGAGGGGAGCTTCCTGATTGTTAGATGCATATGCATGAATTAGTCTTCCTTAATTTGGCTAACAATAATTTCTCTAGAAAAATCCCTAGCTCTATGGGTTTCCTATATCGAATTCAAACATTGCACTTACGCAATAACAATTTCATTGGAGAATTGCCTTCGTCATTGAAGAACTGTAGTGATTTGAAGATCAATGATATAGGAGAAAATAAATTATCAGGAAAAATACTAGCATGGATAAGGACAAACTTGACAAATTTAATTGTTCTTAGTCTGCGGTTGAATAAGTTACATGGACACATACCTCTAAAAATATGCCATCTCAAGTCCATTTAAATCTTGGACCTCTCCCAAAATAATAAATCTAGGATTATACCGTCGTGCTTCAATAATTTTATGGCTTTGGTTTGGCGAAATAAATCTAGAGGAAAACATTGTTCTTGGCTATTATGCTTATACAAGTGGTTCTGCTGCTACTGGTAATATGTATGTAGATAATGCATTGGTGCTATAGAAAGGGAAAGAAAGTGAGTACAAAAATAATTTAGCACTAATAAGAGGCATTGAACATTCTGGCAATAGATTAGTTAGAAAAATTCCTGAAGAAATCTCGAGTCTTGCAAAATTGAATTATTTAAACTTATCGAGAAATGAATTGAATGGACATGTCATTCAAAATATTGGTGAGTTGAAAATGCTAGAATCTCTCGACTTGTCTAGAAATCAGTTTTCTTGTGAGATTCCTACAGGCATCACTCGTTTAGATTTTCTTACTATCTTGGATTTGTCAAATAACAACTTGTTTGGAAAAATTCCATCAAGCACTCAATTGCAGAGCTTTGATGCCTCTGCATATTTTGGAAATGATGAACTTTGCGGGCTTCCACTTCCAAATAAGTGCTCTAGAGATGAAACAGCTCTGGAACCTTCTATCGGTGAAAATGATATCATTTAAGGAAAAGAAGATGGGTTCATAAACCGAGAATTTTATGTCAGCATGGAGCTAGGTTTTGGGGTTGGATTTGGTGGAGTCTTTGGCACTTTACTGCTCAATCGTTAATTGGAACATGTCCTTTTCAAGTTCTTGAACAACATAAAAGACTGGATCTATGTGACAATAGCAGTGAAAATAGACAAATTAAGGAGGGGGCCTTAAACCTAATAGGTACATATCTCATATAGCTTTTTAAAATTTTCTACACTTTCACTCCAATTTTGTTTTTTGTATTAGCTAGATTTTCAATACTTGAATGACACTCTTTATAACAGTTCTAATTGTTTCTATGTGACAATAGCGGCGAATATGGCCAGAGTCTAGAGGCAGCTTCATAGCTAATAGGTAAATATATTTTTTTGATGTTTGTGAATTGGCTGCACTTTCACTCCTAGAATTTCTTTTTGCATTAGTTAGATGTTCAATATTTAAATGACACTATAACACTTCAAACACAACCAAAAAAAAAAAAATTTAACTCCTCTCGTTGTAAACTAATGTTAGAGTTTTTCAATTTCACATTTTGATTAAACGGATTGCTTACATTGTTTTTTTTTTATTTATTTTTTATTTTTTATCTTTTTTTTGCATTTTCTGTGTTTGCCACTTCAAGTTCTTGCAGTGACAACTTCGAGTTTTGCATTCCCTCCAGTGCTGCAGTTGTCTCTTAGGCCTCTCTATTTCTTGAAGAATATATTGTATAACTATTCTCTACATTACTTGTACTAGATTTAGTTAGTATTGATTGAAGCACAATCATATGGCGATGGACTATTTGTATGAGGAATGGTTGTGGCCTACAGGGCAATCCAAAATAAATATATTACATAGTTTGTTGTCTAATATTTTCTTTCAAATGTATCATTTAAAATATGGTTTCTTGAATATTATTATTGATAAGGCCTCTTTTCTAGATGTAACTCATGTTCAATTAATAATCCCTTAAGAGAGGAGGGTTTTTTTTCTCATAATCTCGTTTTCTAATTCGATACTTAATGTTATCCTCCTCTAACAAGTTCAGCCCTGAAACAAAGTAAAACATGTGCATGTGCAGGTCAATTCTTTAGATACTAATCGAACCCCAAATTTGGTGCTTTCTAGCACCAAAGTTCAGGTGATTTTACCACTAGGTCAACCCCTTGTGTGTGTGCATTTCGCTACCTTGTAGTAACAATTAGACATGACAAAAGTAAAAGGAAAAGCAAAATTTTCAAAGCCTTTCTCTATATTTGAGAGAAGAAACAAATTACTAAATGCACTGTGACCAGGGACGGAGCCAGAATTTTTGTTCAAGGGGGGCACATTGTACACTAAATAAATATAAATTAATATTTATGGAGTATATATACAAAAAGAGAAATAGGTGGATAAATATAGATAGAGATTGATATTTTTATAATGAGGTAAATTAATAAATTACATATATAGAATATAATGAAACAATTTAAGAAAAAAAAAATATTAAGGAAACATATAGAGCATAAAAGGGAAGGAGAAATTTGAGGGGGGGCACTTTTACACATTTTCAAAAAATATTTACCTATTATAGGAAAATATATATAAAAAATAAGGAAAGGAAAAAATCCAGGAAGGGCACGTGCCCCCTCCCCCCCCCCCCCCCCCCCCCCCCCCCCGGGTCTTATTCTGGCTCCGTCCCTGACTATGACAATGAGCACATTTGTGTACATTGCCACTGGATTATAAGCATAAGTTATGTCAAATAATGTATTACCCGTGCATTGCACGCAGACAATACTATGTCAAACAATGATAACATTATGTTCATTGAATTAAATCAAAATAATTGCCTCCTTAAAAAAAAAATGACAAATTGACTTAAAGAAAACACTAATGAGATTTTCTATTGAATCATTGCTTGGAACAAACTACATTCTCCAACCAACAAAAAATAAATGAATTGTTACAAGGCAGAAACCTTCGTGATATCAATGTGATCATAACTAAGTGATCCGCTGACCCAGTCAATAAAATGGGCAATGTTAGCCAAAACATTACTATATTATAATACAATGTTCATCAACTAAAAGACTAAAACATAATTGGCCTATAGAAAACACAACAAAAACTTCTATTGAATCAGTGTTTGGGGCAACTTCATCCAATGATACTCCAACTCTCTAACCAATCAAAACTAAATGAAAAATTAGACATAAACCTTCATAATATGCATGTGACCCGAACTGAATGATTCGCTGACCCAGTCAAGAAAATGGGCAAGGGAGGGTGCCAATCTACCATCGTAATAGGTGCACTATGAGGAAGAGTTCTTATTCCATTTGTATGACCTCGAACCTGGTAAAATGGAAACTTACATCAGATCAAAAACATTACATATCTTGAACGCATGGCAAAGGCCTATTGTATGATATATTATTCGCTATAAGTTTACAACCAACCCATGGCTAAGAATGGTAAGGATCAATGAGTTAGTAAAAAATAATATTAGATACAGCAGCATAAAACTAGATCAAACACATTTCATGTTTTGTTAACTTTCCCGCCCCCCCCCCCCCCCCCCCCCCCCCCCCCCCGCGGGGGGGGGGGGGGGGGGAGAGGATCAAACACACTACACGTGTGGGAAATGTATTAATACAGATATATATACATATTTATATAGAGAGAAAGAGAGATAGAAAGAGAGAATCGAGAATTACGTGATATATTGGAGCTCTTACTAAACCAGATGTTACCAAGAGCCTTCTCCCATTAGCATCTAAAGTCATTTCATGTCTAAAGTAAATTGAATCATCACGGTTGCAAAACCTACATAATGGAACACAATGATGTCAACACAATTCCTTCTGTATAAATTAATGTACAATGATTCTGAAGATACCATTAAAAAAAGTTATAAACTAAGTATAGTACAACTAGGGCAAACCCAGTGTACGAGGCTCCTGCCATTGCGGGGTCTAGTGAGGGACAAATATATGCCACCTCCTACGTTACCTAAACTTGTCAACGAAGGCCAGAGTGCTCGTGCCGACACAACACGACACGGACACGGGATATGCATTTGACCCTCCATTCTTCAATCAGACATGACTAACAATGAAAATACATAAAATGATATGTAGTTTGATGCTTGTGAAGGATTAGGAATTTTTTTTCGTGTGTTTTTGTTAAATTTGTAGCCATATGAAGCTTTTTGCTTCAATAATGGCATTTTGGTTCGGATCGGTGGTCTGAAGGTTGAAGATAACTTGCTGTTTGTGAACCCGCGCTCGCTGGCTTTTGCGCAATTTTTTGTGCCATCTTGAGCGTGGTTTCATGCAATTGTTAACAACTTAACACCTAGCCTTTTAACTGTCAGGATCATAACACCTGTTTATTTGGATCTGAAAAGATAAGGGACATTGGGATACAGCTGTAAAGCATTACCTACTGTGGTGGGGTTACAGTTGTAACTTTGCGCTTTTATAGTACTGTTATAAATACTGTGTATATTGAATGGGCTTCCTTTTTAATTGTACTTTGGACTTGTACAGGCCCAAAACCCAAGCATCAATCCATGACTAAAATGCACATATAGAGACATATTAGCCCATAGTGAATTAGTCATCCTTTTTACTTGTGCTTTGACTTGTTCAAGCGCAAATGCCAAGATGCACATACAGACGCATATTAGCCCAAGCCCAAACCCACCCTTGGGTATACAAAAGAAGCCTTACACCTCAGAATTTCTTATTTACAAGTTTCGTAAAATAGCAGTAACAGGGGAATGCATAGCCATGACCTGCCACCAATCAAATGAGGCAAACACATGCAATAATAATTATAAAATTCCTATAAAAAAAAGTACAATTGATATATATTTTTTTAGTTTTATGATTAATGTCTCAAACATTTAAAAAAACAAAAAAAAAAAAAAAAAGAACTTACAAATTTCTCTTTCTTTTCAAAGTGTCCAAGTACCAATGTCAACTATTTTGGACACTTTTAATCCATATCCCCGTATCCTGAAAATTGATAGATTGACGAATTCGACCCCTAGACACCCACCCGTGTCCGACACCCGCACCACCTTACCTCCACATGCGAAGAGGCTATTTCCATGTTTCGAACATGTGACCTCTAAGTCACAATGGAGAACCTTAATTTTGCGCCAAGGCTAATTCTCTATGCATAGTCAAATAACATTCATGCAATATTAAGTACACCATACCATTAAAGAAACAAGATCATATCAATTTTATAAAATTAAAAGAGATATTGGAAGTTGAACATACTATCATGGTATCAATCTAAAGAGTCAAACTACAAAACTTAGGAAGGTACCCTATTTAAGGACTAATACATTTGATAGCTCAATTAATATAATAAGTGATTCTCCAATTAAGTATGCAATCTGAATGTCACTTAAATGAATAAGTTCACTTAAAATATAATGAAATCAAATTTTAAGTGAAGACAACTTCATATACCACTAAAGACGACTTCATATTACATTATTGTTTCTTTTACTTATCAAAAATAAATAAAAAATAAAAAAAGAACACTTGAATTAAAACAATCATTGCAGAAGTCCTCAATTTATAAACTTAAAATTCTCGTCTTAGAATCATTGCTGCTTAATTTTAAGTGTTACGGGTTGAATGGAGGAGTGCTGTTGGTATATTATATATGTGATCGCGGTATAGCTTTAAAATTTAAAAGGCAGATTTATAAACAACTATTAAACTAGCCATACTTATGGTATAAAATGTTGGATGGCTTGAAAATAGCACATTCACAAAATGAGAATCTTCTAATAAGGTCATCAAAGGCATTATTGAGAAGATGGAGAAAAAGAATGCAAGGGATTGGCATAGATGTAGGGTAAGATAATAAAGAATAAAATTAACACATTCATAAGACGAATTAAAATGACACCAGTAGGAGACGAAATGGAAGAGAATCAACAAAGATGGTTTGCTTATATACAACAAAGACTACCGAGG